ATTAAAATTCAAATTTAATTTGACTTTAAATATATAAAATTTTTATGTGTGTGCTCAAAATTTATTTTATTTTTAATCTAATTAAATTTTCTGTAGAACTTGACTTTATCTACATATGTGACATATATGTAAATATATATGTCACATACTAAAATGGAACTTATTGTATAATTTTAATTAAAATTAAAAAATATGTATTAAATTAGAAGTGTATATATTTCATGTATATTTTTAATAAAAATTAAAAATATATATTATATAAAGAGTCAAAGTTTAGTAAGTTCTTTTGCCTCATGATTCAATTTAATCTGATGTGATGGATCGATCTAAATCATTAGATCTTGAACTTTTTTTTTTATTTGTTATTTTTAACTCCACCAAATATAACATACATATAAAACATGAATAAAAAGTTGCAATGAATAGTAAAGTAATAAACATCACACATTAAGTCGAGATAAGTCTTGATATTTTTTTGATAACTTACTTTTTAATAAAAATTTATATATTGATAATAAGATGATATATATATATATATATATTAATAATAATAAGCATAACATAATTTTTAAACGATAATATAAGAATACAACTTAACTCGAATCTACAATTTTATATAATAATAAAAAAAAAAGATGCATCAACATTGAACTAAATAGTACTCGATACTCTAATGACTTATTAAAATAATTTTAGATAATCAATAGTTTTAAAAAGTTAATTGATAGGAAATAATACATTCAACCTATAATTATTGTAAGTAAGCATATGTATTTACTTACAAATTTACCCGTATGAGAATAAAGTATATTAGTCGTTAAATTTTTAATTTTAATACTATGTTAAACAATATCTAATTTAATATTAAAATCATGTTAAAAATGGTATAATATGTGTTTTTAATTTGAGTCACAATTTGATCGTAATGAATAATTATGTTAAAAAATTAGGCTAGTACAAAATGGTATACTTGTATGCTTCAATAATAAGGAAATTATGTGTAAATTAGAGAACATATACAATATTAATTTTAACTTTTGACACCAATTTTGACTGCCAACCAAGAAATCAGACTTTTAGTTTTGTTGAACATGTGTGTGTGTATATATATATATATATGCATGGGGTGTATACGCGCACATAATGTATATATATATATATATATATATATATATAGCTTGTTATGATGAAATAATAATATTATTCTATATTAATTATTGGTTTTTCAAATAAACTGGTAAATTACTTAATAATTTCAAATATAAATATATACACAGTTTGTGGAGGATGATGAATCCATGAAGATACTACCATGCAAATTTCTGGGTAGAGTCCAAAGCAAATAAGACAATTATATGAAGTTACAAAGGGATTAAAATTGAATTAATTTGCAGAACCCTGACACAGTCTTATCAAGGAAATGAAGCAGAAAAAACAAGATAATTATATATATATGTATGTATATATATTTACCTACATATATATATATATATATGTATATACGTGTGCCTGTGTGTGTATGTATATACAGGCAAGTTGAAATTGTTTAGCAATTTCTGTTGATATTTCATTTGAAACTTGGCAATATTTGACATCTAAAAAAAGGAAGCCGCTCCATTAAGCTCACATTTTGTGTCTTTATATATACATATTAATATTTTATATGTATATGTATATGTATACATTTCAAATTTAATTTTAGGTGACTTTTTGGGCTCGTGAGTACGTGAGATGTGAACCGACCAACCAATGGCCTATCCTTTTGGCTTTTGCCAATTAAAAAACAAGAAGATTATTTAGTTTAATGTAAAGGCTAAATCTCCAAACAGCTGGGCCAATGTGTGTGCGAGTGTTTATATATATATGTCTATACATATGAATGTGTATATGTATGTATGTATGTATATATATATATATATATATGTCTAGTATACGTACAAAGCTAGTTAGGTTGACATTTGTAATCTTGTATTATTTAATTTGGTTGACATTTAATTTCTAATTTTTTTTTAATTTAATTTTTAAAAAAAGTTATTTTTTCATTGGAAAAGACTAGTGCAATGAACATGTTCAATTCACAAACTCTATAATTTGAATTAGTTTTCCGAAGAAAAAAATCAATATATACCTCAATGCTGTCACCCATATTAAAAACTTGTCGTGTTAACTTCAGTATATATATACATATATAGTCTTAATCATTAGTATTTGATCAATTAGATGAAATTTAATTAATTAATCATGACATAAATAACTATGTAAATAAACGCAACTTCTAATCTTCTACTTTAATAATATTTGACTTTAATTATACTTATTAGATATAATGAGAGAAAAAAATGTGTTTGAAGGCGTCATGCATGCACAGAATTCATGTAGGTATACTTATTAGATATATGATTCCACTTAATTATTCATTAAACTCTTAATTAAATACTTAAACTCTTAATTAATGTAGATTAACCCAAAATGAGTAAGATATCTTTGTATCTGGCACTTTCATCTTTAGTAGTTATTCTTTATTTACTAATTTTTTTTTTTAACTTATAAAATAAGATACCTTTGTATGACTAAATTAACCAGCAGCTTGACTTGATCTTCCTCCAAAAAAACACTTAATTAACCCATTGAACATATATATATATACACAATATATGAAATTGACACTCTTTAGTCTTCAGTCTTTACACATGCCATGGACTTATTCCTTCAATCTTCAGATATTAATTAAAAATTAATCAAATATAATTAACTAAACCTAACCTTAATTAAGCTTTATGCTTATCCATGCATTCCAGCTGTTGACCACAAA